ATATATATATATATATATATATATATATATATATATATATATATATATATATATATATATATATATATATACAAATCTGTGTCATCAATCGTTGTGACTATCATTATTGCCATTGTGGTGTGTGCTATTGATACCGACAGATATTAGTAGTATGTACCATTAATGGAAAGTGAAATGTCTGGCGCAGAAGGTTAAGAAGATCAAAGAAAAGAGAACAAGAACAAAGGATGATTGCTGTAGAGATGAAGGAATAGTGAAGTCTGAGACAATTGCTTGACATTTTGCAAATGAAGTACTTACTGTATGGTTCTCAGATTTCACTGTCATTCTGTAAATTTCTGTTCGAATACATTTGATTGTCCCCACTTGTATTCTCGTTCACTACACTATTACAACTGTTATTATTAGTATTAACAACATTTTATAGTGTGAACCATTCACACTGAATACTTTTTAAAAGGATATTAATCTTCTGATGTTATTTTGTGTTATAGTTGGAGATAGAGATAAATTTTAAAATCCACATTTAATTTTATTGAAGACTAGCCAAGTAGATTTATTAAAATCTGACTAGTTGATGAAATCTCAACTCAAACTTATAATATTCAATAAGAACAGTAGTGACTTTTTGCTCAGAAAAGTAACTAGTCAGTGCCCTTGTATAGCTAGTAAATATTTTTGGTAAGATTTTATTTTAGCAAATAAGATTAATTTTATAAAAAACATTTGTTCTCAAAGATGGTAATGCTTACCGTATAGTAGATTTGTGATTAATTTGTATATTTAAGTATTTACTGATTTGTGTTGTCGATTACAATGCATAAATGCTAACTAATGTCATTTGGCTACATTAACAAAGTGGCACAATGAATCTGAAGGAGGATGAGATTGGATATATTCTAAAATGAATCAGTGGTCTGTATGAATTACTGTTGAACATTCAGTGTAACACATTTTGAAATGTTATTTAACTTGGTAACCATAACTATATTTATCCGTCCCAAATTTTTATTTATGATTTAAAAAACTGAATCATATCTACCAGTTTCTCTTTAGAAACATTAGACAACTGATTTCGCTGCAGTTTTGTAACTAGTTAATAATCCGTTCAACCACCTGATTTAACAATAATTATACACTCACAAGTAATGAATTTCTGGATGAATTTCCTAAATTTTAGTTCATCCATAAGATAGATAATTGCTCTATAATTAATAAATCCAAAACCATCTGAACTCTACCGATCATCACTTCAAACTAGAACTTCAGGAATTCATCTCCAAGTTGGTTACTAGTAAGTAAACTTATGTGTTACTAATGAAAGAGTTTTATGGATACGGGCTTAATTTGTAGGTGGTATGAATCGACATTGAGTATTGAGGAATCCGATACTAGGACGAAATGCCTGTTCGGTGCATCGTGGTTATCAGTGCAGCACCAGGCAAGATCAAGGTGAAACAAATGTTATTTTCGAAATACCCAAAAAGGTTTTCTACCTCTTTAACATAAAATTTTGTACCATAAAAGAAGAATAAAATTCGCTTAAATAAAAATTCGTCTTAAAATAACATTCGTGATTTATATTTCAATGATAGGATATACAAAATTATACTCTATGCTTTTCGTTATTTAAAATAAACTCTCAACACGAAGTAACGTCATCGGCGGGGAAAAAAAGAGTGGGGGAATTTCTTTCATGCTAGCCTAAAATTTTCTAGTATTATTTACTGTCTAATGATTAGAAGATTAAGCTCGAAAAAGATACCAAATTTCTAGGCGTGTGTATAACCCTATTGAGTCAATGAATAGAAATTCAATCGTTCATATTCTATATGTTTATTCAATTTACAATTTGATCAGATTCTTATGTATCGTCAACGTTTGGGTAAATTGTCTGCACATCTGGATATTCCTTTAAAAAAAGAACAAACTATTTTAGTACTACTAATTGATAAGTATGTTATTTCGCATAACATGTTTTTCTTTCTGAATGTATTTTCAATTTTATTTAATGTTCTTTAAAACTTTTATAATATTAAATGGATAGAAAAATTGTACTTTTTCCTTGTTATCACAATTCTATTCATTTTTGTCAGTTTGATTACATGAATTGATTTTGATAAGTGTATTATGATAACTTGTTGAACATAAACATCCCATTGAACAGTGAGTCGTTTAAAAAACAGTAAGCACTGTTTTGGTCTAGTTCTAGACTCTTCAACAAACTAAATTCAAGGATAAATAAGAGATGTAGTACAGAATTTTTGGGTTTCGAGATACTATATAGTTACTGAATTAGGATTCAGTGGTCCATATTTGTCCCTTCACTTAATTTGCGATATAGCGTAATCCTCAGTCAAAAGCTTGAGTTTGCTACTGCCTTATTATCGATACGGTTTGAAATTAAGACAAGATGACTGTCCATTGTTCTTCGTCTGGTAGCGATTCATAGTGGGAACTACCTTTTAACCGATAACTAATAAATATCAATGTTGAATAATATAAAAATTAACATATTCAATATCGTTTGTTTGATTATTGCGAAGAATTTTCGACACAGATATGGAATATCACGACACCATTCTGAAATTCGTTGAAATTGTCCCCACTCATTGTATATCTAAAGGAACGTTTTGCAACGGCAGTCACTTGTCATTCGTCATCATCCACAAACACTCTCATAAGTTGCATTTCGATGATATCTTTTCCATTCCGTAGTTTATTTCATTTGCTAATTCTAATATATTCAACTGTTGTTTTTCTGAAGAGTATACACGGATGAAAGTATACCTACCAATGTGATGGCTTTGGTCGACTTCAGCAGTAATTATATTTCAGATGGGTTGTCAGTTATTTTATCAGAGTGGTTGATTGCATAAAGCATTTAACATGCATAAGTATTCAGTCATAATAAATCGGGAGCGAGAAAAGTTTTTTGAAGCATTCACAAATATTGGAAATCAGTTGTCCATAAGTTTCGGAAGCCAGCCCTTATAATTGTGTTGAATAAGAGGATTACAATTTTAGAAACATTTACCACCAAGAAATCATTAATTTACATTGTTTTTTCTTGTTCAGTTTATATGATCTAAAAGTCTAAATGTTTGATATATTCAGTGGTTCCCTGAAGATTTTAAATGTGACCAAAGCGTTATATCGTGGGTGACAGTTGTTTTACTTCGTAAAAAAGTGTATATATGTATATGTTATCATTTTATATGGCATTGTATGATATTGCAAATTTACACTGATCGTTTTTTTTATGTTATTAGTTAATATATGTTCCCATAGCTGATATTAATTGTGTTCCATCTCAAATGTATTTTGTCTAGAGGTACATTGGTTGAGAATAGAGCGACAGTTCTCTCTATTTCACACTTACGTAATTCACTATTTTTACCAAAGTAAATATTTTTAGTAGATGTATGCTAACATTGTTTGAAACCAAATGCTTTGAAAAACTAATTCTAACATATTCATCTTGATGTAAATCCAATAACCTTTGTTTTAGTAGACTGTTAACCCTCGAGACGATGAACCAATCCGTATATCATAACTTTTGGTTATTACTACAGACACCCTAAAAGAGACTTCTCTGAGTTAATCTCAATTTTTAAGAATATAAGCTAATAACTTAGTGCCTGATTTATATCATGATCATCGGAGAACTGCGATAGTACCATATTTGACTCTTTTGTTCGCCCCATACTGATATACTTCTGAGGAAACAATTCTTTAACAGTATTTCTTGAACACAGTAAAATTAGTTTCGTAAATTTTATCAATAAAGGATGAGGATCCATTTTTGTTTTTAACATTAGTGAAAACAAACTATCTGACTATACGATTATGAGGTTATTATGAAACATTTTGGGATAATTTACTCTAGGTGATTTTCAAGTTTGAGAAAATATCACGAAATTTTGAGATTAAAACGATGTACATTCATCATTAGACTTTATTTTTGAATTTTACCTAATTCAATGTGTTACATAAACTTTTTATTAGAAGTGAATAAAACCAGAAAAAATATTGAGTAATGAGGCTTCACTGAATCGAAAATCATATAGTTAACAAATATTTGCAACATTACATCCCGAAAAAAAGTTTTTTTTTAAATTGTGCTATTTAGCTATGCTAAGCAAAACCATTATTATAGGTTGATCTTCAACATAAATCATTGTTAGCCTGATAACCATTGGAAATAATGAGAACAAGAGAAATCTGCAACTGAAGGATCGTGTATAATTATATATTTGTAATGTCTGAGTGAGTAGACGACTTAGTTTTGTACTTTTCGCAATTTAGTGTAAGTTAATTCTTAATAGAATAAATAAATAGCCGAATCGAATTAGTGTAATTTCACATAATACAGAAAAACAAAGTATAACATCTAGAATAATCAAAATAAGTCCGATCAGGTCATTGTCATGTTGTTCTAGCCAAGGTGATTCTGTGTTGAGACATTCATTGATGTTATTGAATGAACCATGTTGAAATGAGGTACTGATATATTTTTGTCAACAAAACAGATCCATTCATCAAGAAAATCTTTGTTAGGAGTTGGTTTTATAAATATTTGTGGTGTGGTTCTCATATCATTCTTCTTTATTTACAATACACTAATTATTAGAAATCCATTTGTAGATTCATTTAACGATGAAATTAACGTAACTTTCTAAGTTGAATTATTCTCTGATTATGTTAATGATAAAGTAGGGTTTGAAACAAGTGCAGATCACTTAAATTTTTTTGCGGTGTAAAGAAACAACTTTGTGTGCAAGATTCCGAAACTTATAAGTCAACTTGCCCAGTGTATCGTATTACCCAACTCTTTCAGTATGCTTCTAACTTTATCAGTGAACAGATGTGTGCAGCTTGATAACATGCTTACAGTGAATACGTTGTAACTTACTAACGTATCTCCCTCTATTTCTGATTCACTGTTGATTAAAATCTTGTCCCGCTACATCAAAACTTCCTTATTTTCAAATTTTTAGAGCTAAAGTTTATGAATTTCGTTGTCATGCCCCGGAAAACTTGAAATCTCGCGAACTGACTGAATTAACAGTTGATGATATATGTAAAGAAGAATTAAGTCAATCAGTGATACCATCGGAAGATTTATCATCAAATTATAATATCGGTGTATTCGATCAGTATCAACCAACTGGACAAGACAATAGTAATCAACAACAAAATGGCGATTTCGGTGAAACATCTGGTCGTCATGATTTGAAACCAGTCAATGCAGATGGTAATGAACAACAATTGGCCACTGCTGGTAGTAGTGGTATTTCCACTGAAATGATCATTGTAATTTGTGTTGTCATAGCATGTATTATTGTTATCATTATAAGTTTAATTGTTTATTCGTCACGTAAACGTGCACAACGTAGAAAACAACAAGAGAGAAATCTTGGTGTTTCACATAAAACAAATTCATATTGGTAAGTCAATGTGAGTTTTTTGTCTATGTGTATTTTAAGAGATATATATTCGAGGGATTTTAAAAAAATTTCCCAAAGTTTTAGAGCTATTATTAGTTACCACAACAACTGATATTGATGATAAAGTTGTCATTTTTTTATCAGCATAACTAAACCATTCGAATGGTAGAATAGTTTCTTTAGCGTAGTACTCGAATGATGGGTGGTTGAACTAAGTGAATTTACTTACTTGAATCAATTCACATTTCCTGTAATAAGTACCTACTCATACGATAATATGGAAACTAGTGTATGGAATTCACCCTGGATTATCAACGATCAGAATTTTTGAATTATATATCATCCCTATCGAATGAATGATGATTTTTGCGACCCAGCTGTATAGAATATATGACTTTGTCTTTTAAAGCACCAGAAACAAGTATTGAGTTCCCGTGCAAACATCACCGAGGAAGTATATTCAATTGATATGCTTCAGTCAAGCTGAAATGCATGTTGTAAATTTCTTTGTTAGTCACTATCCAAAATATCATCTGACAGTTAGCTTGTTTGTTTGCCTAGTAGGAGTTAACTTTTCATTTAATAATTTACCAGTTTGGTACACAGTAATGTACCATTTGGAACGTTCACTGTCCAATTTCGAGTTGATTACGAAAATCAAGACATCGGATTACATATTTTTAGGGCGGACGTGAATATATATATATATATATATATATATATATATATATATATATATATATATATATATATATATATATATATATATATATATATATATATATATATATATATAGCGCTTTGATGCCAGATTTTTATTTGGATTATAATCACATAATTATACCAATACTACTATAATTACTATTACTACCAGTACTGATTATCAACCAGTTCATTACACGTTTAATCTATGTAAGAAAATAACTATTATTATTTTGGTTAATAAATGTAAGGAGAATTTTTCTTGTCGGCATTTTACTTTATTCTTTTCCTCTCATTCTGTGTATTAACTAAGTTGACTGACTTAAATTCTTACATACAATTCCTGATTATGTGCGCGTCTTGTGTGTATATGTTTGTGTGGGGTACACTAGATGCTTAGTGCATATTTGTTCATTTTTTTAATCTTACGTCACTCTTCTTTTTATTTTAATTATTTTGACTTGTATTGTCGCAGTTATATTTCTTTGCCAAATTCATCAGACAGAACTTCAATCTCTTACTCTGTACATAGGTTAATATGAAAAATTTGCTGTTTTGTCATTATTTGTTTTTCAGTTGTGCATAATTTGTGAGCATATGGTAGTGTGTATGTGCCAATGTGGTTGTATGTTCATTTATTAATTTTTCATTTTCTGACGATACTTAGTCATAATAGCAGCATCTTCGTGTACATATGGAAATGCAATGAGTAGGTGGTATGCTATTCTTACTTAGTGATTGCATATATACATTTTGTAAACACATCTGTGAGAGTGTCAGTTATTTATCTGTTAACCTCAACACACTATCTAAGATACTTTTAAATGATCTGTAGAAAAAGTTTATGTACATTTTGTGTTTATGATTCGATTATTTCATTTTCTTTGTGTTTTTTTAATATTTACTTGTGGAATGTTTGTCATTCTATTTACATTGCACATGTATGTACCACTTCATGCTCTGTGTGTTTGTTTGCTCCTTTGCATGTATTTGTATGTATTTGTACATACAAGTGAGTTCTGTACATCATTAGCACAAAACCAACATATACATTTGTTCTAGCTTCTCGTCAGTGTGAAGCGTGCTTATAAATAACTCGGCTTAGTAACAGTGGTTTATAAGATTTTTATTTCACTGAAAAAAAACAATTACTAATATATTGAAAGTCAGTGAACGTATAGACGTGTTGCTGGTTAATAATATTTTTGATCTTATCCTGCTCAGTCAGTCAATCAATCAGTCAGTAACAACGTAGAACTTCGTACGTACGTACATCAGTTCGAGTTGCCACACCACATTAGCACACAGATGTAGTGGCCGATTCAAGTCCCGTAGTGGTAGAGGTAATAAGAGTATAAGCAGTAATCGGGAAAATTAGTGTTTGGAGATGTTATTTAAAGAATATAATACAGTGAAATAAATTTGGGAAGAGAAACAAAAAGAGACAAGGAGGAATAAGGAGACCAAAATTTGGGAGAACACAAAGAGTGGATGCACCTGCGACATTGCAAACGATTTTGAGCCATGCCGTTTAGGGTCTATAACCATCGGTTGCTATCATCTCGCGGTCCCCAACCAGGTAGTCTACACCTACCGACATGACTCAGTCCACTTGTCAGTGACTTCATGGAATTGTGCCATGTTTTGGTCTGACCGCCCCTAACTTTCTTCCCATCTACTCCTATACAACAAAACATCGCACATCGAGGCAGTCGGTGGTTGGGCATACGTAACACGTGTCCCAGCCATCTCAACTGACGAAGTTTCACTACATCAATTGATTTGTCATCCTTACCTAGTACCCGTTTCCTAACAACTGCATTACTCACTCGATGGTCCCAGGATATACAAGCAATATTTCGAAGACACTTGTGGTCAAATACTAGTAACCTACGAATATCCTCTACTCTTACCGGGCATGTTTCACTGCCATAAAGTAGGAAGGAACGAACTGCTGTGCAGTAAACTCGTCCTTTGGTTGGTAGACGGATATCTCGCCTACGCCATAAATGACGCAAGTTGGTAGGAGCTAGTCGAGCCTTCTGTATCCGTGCTGAGATTTCGTCACACACCAGACCACAAGGGCTGATGAGACTTCCAAGATACGCGAAGCGATCGACACGCTCAATTACTTCACTCCCTATCGTTAGTTCGGGTGTCAATGCAACCCAATCCTGAAGCAACATTTTGCATTTCGAGGGGGAAAATCGCATCCCGGACGTGCTTAAATTGTTGCTTAGAGTGGTCAGAAGACTCTGCATTTTGTCAGCGTCTTCACCAAATAGAACTATGTCATCAGCATATTCTAAGTCAACAAGTGAATCTCCCGGTATAAGTTCAACCCCTGGAAATCTAGACGAGGAAGGTGTCATCTCTAAAAGTACGTCGACGACAAAGTTGAACAAGAATGAAGAGAGTGGGCAGCCCTGACGAACACCACTTGAGGTAATCAATTCTGATGACAGTCCGCCATAAGCTCTCACTCTACCTGTTGTGTTCGAGTAGAGAGCCTTTATAAGGTTAGTGTACTTCTTTGGTACTCCTTTCAGTGACAAACACTGCCATAGAACCTTACGATCAACAGAGTCGAATGCCGCCTTAAGGTGGAGAAATACTACGATTGTGGGGCGTCTGAATGTGTGTCTGTGTTCTAGAACCTGACGTAGTGTGAACATGTTGTCTATACAACCACGTCCAGGTCGAAAACCAGCCTGATTTTCTCTAGTCTGTTCTTCACGAGCTTTGATTAGGCGTCGAAGTATTATTGAAGCTAATATTTTAGACACTATATTAGTCAAACTGATTCCTCTGTGATTGTCACAAGAGGACTTTTGTCCTTTCTTATAGACTGGCGCAATCAGTGATTGAGACCAGTCAGATGGGATTACGTCCAGTTCTCAAATTCTACCCAAGACCTCACTTAATCTCACTGCTAATACTGAACCACCATCCTTAAAAATCTCAGGAGTAAACCCGTCAGGGCCTGCTGCTCTTCCTCGCTTCAGATTTCCTATGGCTTTTTCAACTTCGTAAAGGGACGGAGGACCTACATTAACTTGCCGTTCAGGTTGACTAGAGATCGTGGGAAACCGAAGTGTGGCTGAAGGCCAGTTGAACTGATCCCTCAAGTGTTTTGCCCATTGATCCAATCTCCTGGATTGAGAATGTATAATATGTCCATCTTTCTCTGAGATTGTTTCGCTAACAGTCGGTTTCCTAATACCGGTTTCCTTAACAAGTCTGAACAATTGTCTGCTATTATCTATTGCCGCTGCCTTTTCCATCTCTCTTGCTTTCGCTACCCACCACTGTCCACGGTCATTGCGTAGACTTCTTGTCAGCTTGCGCTTAAGCTGACTTTGCTCTTCATTATTTTCAGAGCCAGGTGGAATGAGTTTCCGAGCATCTATCAGTGCGATAGATGCTGCTAAGATCCAGTGTTGCTCCCTAACCTTCTGGTTTACCGTACTAGCAGATATCACTGCTGTTTCCACAGCTTTTCGGATATCATTCCATGCTGCATCGGGGTGGGCATCACATACATGGCTGCCTAACTGTTTTCCTAGTTGTTCCTGAAATATACTCTTAGCTTGACTATCATTAAGTAGGGCCCTAAGAGGTTTCCTTGCAGGATCTTTCCTACGTCCAGTAAGACGCAGACAGATACGCGCTCGCACTAGAGCCTGATCTGAATCTATGCATGTGCTCCAGGATGAGCGACAGTCTTCTATCGAGCCCCTCCATCGGTGGCTGATAGCGATGTGATCTATTTGGGTCCAACGTTGGGACGAATTGGGGGGTCGCCATGTTAAAAGATGTTTTTCCTTATGCTTAAAGTTAGTATTTGCAAGAAAGAGGCGGTTATCTGAGCATAGCTGCAACAGACGGTCGCCATTATCTGTTCTTTGAGCCACGATGCTATAAGATCCACCCAGATGTCTTTCCGTATCGCTTAGTTTACCTACTTGAGCATTAAAGTCACCGGCCATTATTACTACATTCAAACGCCTAGCTTTAAGGAGGAGGTCGGAGTGCTTTCTGTAAAACTCATCTCTTACATCATCTGAGCTGCAGTCTGTGGGAGAATAGGCAGAGACGACGAAGAGGCAACGATGAGCGTCCTTATCTTTTCGGATCCTTACTGTTCCGTTCAGTCGGACAGCGCACAAACAACTTTCTACTGGGATCCAGTATAAGAGAGCTAGTTCTGCCCTAGGACTCAATGCTATATCTACGCCGGCGAGGCCACGGGAAGCAGAATCAGGGCTTCCAGATACACGAAGTGTGAATCGAGTCGGTTCTTTATTTTGGCATGGTGAGGTCAAATGAATGACGCTACTTGGATCCTGTATGCGCGTTTCGGAGACGCAGCACACATCGATGGCTCGAGATTCTAAAGTTTTAGCTAAGGAAGCCTGCTGTCCTATTTGGCAAAGTGTTCGTACGTTAAAAGCTCCTACGTGTAGTTTAGAGCGTGGTTTCAGGAGACCAGGAATAGCGTTCCGCGTGCTCGAGTCGCTTGCCCTAGCGGTGCGAGGTGATAAAAAGACGTGAGGAGGGTTAGTCATGGAGATAAGAGAGGTACTAGGAGGTGTAGGAAGGATTCGAATGTGACCAACTTGGTCCCATGTGCTGTAACGGGTATGAGGGCTGATATTACTTCCCGGCTGCCCACACCATGGAAGGGTATTTCTTGAGGAACCTGAAAAGGAAATTGGATTAGTGTTGGTCTTAACGACCTGGGAGCGTGACCGCAGAGCCCAAGGGACAACTGCTTGAGGCCGGTTGCGCACGGCGTTTTCGTGGAAGGTTTTTAATGTGTTAGCTCCGTTCTTCAAAGGGCCTTATCGCCGGAGACGGAAATCCCTGAGGTAAGGTGAGGTGTGACATTTTTAAGGTCGACCTTTTCTAACCCCACCGCTCTTTGTGGGAAGGCAGCATTGCTGTAGATGCTGGTTGACCGAAGGAAACACCTTACTGCTGTCACAGCCCTCTACAGTCAACAGTACGACTTCGCCCTCAGATTTTGAGTTGCTGCTTTTAGTCTTACCGTTCTCCAATCGACCTACCTGGCATGGTCGAACCTACAGGAACATATGTTCCAGCCAATAAAGCTCGGTTGGGTCATCAAGATAGGCAAGCCCGACCACCGCGTCAAAGTAACAGCTTCGGTCGGGATCTTATCCTGCTACGCCCATTGTTCTTGTTTTATTCAAGTTGAAAAGGGATCGGCAATAGGGTTTCATGATAGTTAGCAGTTGTGAGCGAGTCAGTGTTTTTTATCATAAAATCACGTATATTCTTCTTTGGATTCGGATGTATTTTAGATAAATAAGTATTCTTCATAACTTCAAATCAGATGTTATCTTTTAATATTCCTGCAGTTCATTGAAACGAATTATGGACGAAGTATGTTTTTAGTTGTTATCGATCCATGTCATTCAATCGATTCCATAATTTATTATGGCATCAATCTACTCAATGATATCGAGATTTTATAGTTAAATTTATTCGTGCTAAACTTTAAATTAAAATTAGAAACTGTTGGTTGTGTAATATGACACTTTTTTGATGATTTTAATAATCTCTCACTTTGTCCTCAGTTTGCAAATGGGAAAGGTATCATGTAGCTAGATTGACTTCGTCGGATATAGCTTTAAGATGATCGATTTCATTGATCAAATACATCACAAAAACTTTTCGACCAACCAGTAAGAGGTAAGTAAACAGTAAGCGGAGTATAGAAGCATGCACTTATTAATGTGTAACTACACATGTGCGTAAATGCTACAGACATTACAAGACATGCTTAACTATTTTACAACCCACTGACTGTCATATAAAACCTCCAATGAATGTTAAAAGATATGTTATTAGAGCATGGTGTTTAACGGATGGGTAAAATTCAAAGTACTTAGAACAGTATTATATTTACTACGATATTCGATGTTATTTCCATGTTAAGTAATTGTACCTATTACGTAACGTTGATTTGCGGATTATTGACCGGTCAAGTTCCTTTTTACTTTAAACTTGTTTTAATTACCTGAAACACTTCAATATGCGTAAGAAAAAAACGCTTCCGATGCTTATTAAATAAACTGAAATACAGTTTAGCAGAAGGAAATATGAACAGTAACAATATAAGAATATTTTAACTAATTTAATCCTTTTACTTTGCGTTTTCAGTGCTGTCATTGAACATAATCCATCAAGTCGTACACCAAGTGAAAAACAAGCCACTTCTCAATCACCATATAATAATTATTCTCGTGGTATTTCACAGCCAGAGAAGGAACCTTTAGCTCATGGCTATGGTAATTATCGAGATGGACGTTTGTAAAGGAATGAAAAACAAACTGTTAGTAGTGAAGATGGTGCTGAGAATAGTGATCCTTCCTCGTTTATCTTGTTTTTACCAAATTTTTTTCCGATTGTTTCACAAAATAAAAATTATCCCCACCTTACACATATATTTTTTCACTAATTAACAAGTATACTCATGTTTAATTTATGCTGAATGGAAACTGATTGTTTACGCTTCTCTTCTTTGAAAAATTGCGAGAATAGCAGAAAATTAAAATTTTTAAAAATTCTATTGACATTTTCATTCCACACTTCTCATTCTATTCAACGTTCCAATTGATCTAGTTAATTTCTGATTAAAACAACAGAAAATGCCAATAGCAATATCATGCAACTCAAATAGATACATATGTTCGGACAGACTTAAACACTGGTAAAGATCAATTAGATGAAAAACTGATATGATAATTTAGATTATTGAACTGTATGTTATATGTATTCAATTATTTTATTGAATATCGATTGAAATAAGATTTGGTTGTAACGTTAATTGAAATTCGACCTATTTTATTACATTTTAGTCGTACTTTACACGAATAATTATTCTGTAAAATATAACATCTCTCTGTATATATATATATATATATATATATATATATATATATAAAGTGGTACTTCTAATTAGTTGTTCCCTCTTTTTCTCACATTTTATTGCTTACTTCGCATTACAGTCAGATCATTTTCATTGTTGACAGTGAAAGCAAGAATATGGACTTATCTCATTCTTTTATGTTGTATTTGACTGTTTAATATCTGTTTTTCAAAAAAGGATGCCATAGAGACCATAAAATGATAAGACGAGCATATATACATGCATATGTAGCTTTTATGGATTGCCTCTCTGAGCAGGAAAGTGATTCTTTTTTTTCTTTGGGTGATTTTTAAATTTTGTTATAATTGCACCAATCAAGGATGAATATTTTGATGGGCTTTTAGTATTCACTGTTTTTATATAAATCGTGAGCAACTATGTCAATTGGAGTTAGTTTTTTATCACACATGTTTCATTCAGCATATGATGAAAAGTTTGTTTTAAGGAGTAGGAATGGGATTTTGAGTACTTCAATTCTATTCATTAAGAGGTAAATTGTTGCACTTTGTTTAAAAAATTAATACAAGTTTGCTCACACCATTCACTTTCAATCATGCACCATATGACAACGTCATTTTGATGATATGAGTTGTATCGAACATTCGACTGTTTGTTTTTTCAATTTTCTCCCCCCCCCTTATCCACATGTAAAAATTTACCCACATTTTGGCGCCTTATTATTGTCCAGTGGGTCATTCACTTAGCAAATGACTCAAATTTCTGTACGTTTACCTATCGATCCACTCTATTGAAATACTCATTTTGAAATACGTGTTCAAACAATTATCAATTACTTTATTACAAACATCATTCAAACGAATATGTTTGCGAACAAAATGTTTCTAATATCCAGTCAGCACTATTATCATTATGACTACCAACAATTATATTTAATTTAAACAAATAATAACGGAAACAATATTCTTTCTTGTTTATATCTGTTGTTTTCCTTGTTAATGTATCGAAATTTAGGTGCACGATGAAGAAAGCTTTCTATCAGCCATTCTACCCTCCTCTTTTTTGTTGTCGTTATAATCAATGTTATTGTTGTTGTTGACGCGTTCTTCTCATTTTTGTGAATTTTCACATGATTGTTTCATGTGGGTTAGTTGTTCGTTTGTTTGTTTGTTTGTTTTCTAGTGTCATTCTGACGATATTATTTCCAAAAAAATAATTTAGAATAAAAAACATTGGCAGTTCACTTTACCTTGAGTATCAATTTAAGATGTTATCATTCGAAATTCAATGAAGTCTAATGGTTTCTGATAGAATTAACAAGATCACTTACTGATCGGTTTAAGGTGACAAAAACATGAAGTCATGAATTTATCCGTTGTTTAAATGTTATCAGTTTTATATTTCATGAAGAAGGACCAGTGATAAGGCTAGGTTGATTAGATAAATCAGTAAGATAAACAATGATTCAATAATAATAATAATTTAAAACACAGAACAAGAAATAGATAGTTGTTGGTGAAACAAAATTAAGTTAGCACTGCTTACCTATCAGTTATTAGCTTTAAGATCCATCACACTGAAATCTGGTTGGAAACTTTGAAATGTGTGGATAGGTGAGGCTGAGAAATAAAGCATCTTGTTAATGGCATTAAATTGAAATTGAACACGTAATTTACCGGATTGTAATTTGATCTCCTAATCACATCCTACTTGATATAAAATGTGAAGGTTCAGTAGTTGACTCTTCGTGGAGTTTCATTTGAACTAAGCAGTAATGATATCACCTAGAACAATATTAGAACTTCCCAGTTACACCTATCTCCACTGAAAGTCATAATTATCTACAAAGGTGTGTTGCTGAAGTAATATTTTTTAAACATAAACATCATGACCCCCGAAAGAGAGTGGTGATATTGAATCAGGTTGAAAAATTAAGTTGCATGCTATAATTGACCTGTGGAATCAGATAAATTTTCAGAATAAAGATCATATATAGAAAAGGTCCAGATAAGGTGAGAACTTAAAATTGAAGTGATAATCCTTACAAATTAGTCTTTACAAAAGTTCGTTGTTTGTATGATATAATAATTATGTAATAATTTGGGGGTTAGAAAAGAATAGAAGGACGAAAATAATTTACAGGTCAGAATTATGGAAGATAATTGTCCCCTTGATAGATATGAAGAAAAAGTAGAAAACATAAAGGTCATAATAGTAACTGAATAGTAATCATGAGAAATTGTTAAAGGATGATAATTAAAATTACAAACCATGAACTAAAAAATCAGGACCAAAACATACTACAGAAAGGAATTAGGGCCAAAGAAGGATGAGAGGTTGGACGTATCGTTTTTACACACAGAGTTCAGGCTTGAATTTATGGATCGTCAACGCCTTAGCAGTGAATAATTTTTTGATTCGACCTCCTTTTGATCTAGTTCTTTGATTTTGTAGATTACTTTAAAAGAAGACTTTTTCGGCGTGACGTGTCCAGAAATAGTTAAGTGCTCCTGTATCGAACTGGTGACCTTTACAATCTCGTTTCGAAACTACTCTGGGTAAGGTTCTGAGATGCTTTTGGAAAGTGATCGCTTTGTGCGGCCAATGTAACCTACCCCACAAGAGCAAGTAAATTTATAGATGCACATTGACGTGGCTCAAATTGGGAGTTTATCCTTAATACAACCGTGAATGGTAGGCTGGCTTGAGAAAATAATACAGAGCTTGTCTGAATGGAACGTTTTATTCAAGGATTTTGAAGTCCGTTTATTCAAGATTTCAGCAGCCGTATCTTATTTAAATTCAATATTCATAAATATAGTTTTCTTTTGAACTGTCAGTACTTTTCCAGAATGTCTTGATATTAAGTTACTATCGGAAAATCTAGGTAGATAACCATTTCTGATGAGTATCTGTTCAATTTTAATTAGTTCGTCATCTATTGTGTCAAGAGAACATATTTGCCTAATCCTTGAAGGTAAAGAGTGAATTGAGTTTCTCTTCCTACTCAATGGGACCCAACTATGGAAATTCGTGTTCTGACATTCAAGGTCGGTTTTCCACATGTAGGTCTCTACAAAGAATCATCTGATCTTTTCAACCGGACATTAAGAAAATGAAATTCCTGAAGCAGAGGCTTCACTATGAATTGAGTGATGACAATTATCGAATCGATTCAAAATTTCATTGAGGTTCATATTTTTCTCACAAATAATGAAATTATTGTCCGCATCTCTTAAATAAATGAAACCTCTTAATTATTGGTCGAAGTACCTCATTGTCCAGATCGGCCGTGAACCAATCACCCAAGAGGGGACTCAGTGGTGAACCCATTGCAACTCCGTCAGTTTTTCTATTTGAATCATCAATAAATCTTAATAGCACATTGAGAGGACATCGTAGAAATAGCTCTCTTAGATAATGTTTTGAGATACAAATATCAAAGTTGTTATTTTAAATAGTCATATACAAATATATAGTTTCTGTGAGTGAAACATTTGTAAAGAGAGGAGTGACATCCAATGAGATCATTTTTCTACCATTTACATCGATATTTATAGTTGAGTCAACAAAATCAAATAAATCACGGGAGTTGGGACTGTTGATATGATTCCTGATGGGTTGTAAAATTTCAGCTAACCATCTTGCAATCAAATGATATATGCGACCCTGAATGTGTTATGCTGTGTGTAGATTTTTTTGTTTCCGACTTTTCACCTCTACTCATCTAACAATATACTTTGGTTGCTAATCGAATAGCTCACACACACAGAAACTGCATTCTCGAGACAAGTTGATACTCAAGTTTTCCCTGATACAAGCGAATCCCTCAGTTCCGTCTGTTATCCTACCCAACTTGAATGCCACTCAGAGGAATATCATATATAGATTAAAATGTAAGTAGTACTGAATGGCTTCCTTTTATTTTCTAATCAGAAAACTTCAGTTGCTTAAGTAATATCTAATTACTACTAATAGTTTGGGTATTTATAATTTAGTTTTGATCAAGTGAAGACAACAGTCAGTTTTACGATTGAAGTAAATCAGTGTCACACAGCTAATCGTATCTAAGTTCATTAAATGTTTGATAAATTTGTATTATTTAAAAGTTGATATAAAATGATTAACATTATCATCCCATTATATCAAATAACGATTGATTATATATATATATATAGACTAAGAAAACTTTAATGTTTTAGTAAATATACGTAAATCTGGAGTACTGTAAATTTATGCAGTATGTGATTATCATTCGTGTGAACTAAACAATGTTTATAATCCTGATTAGTACTAATAGAATGTAACAACAAAGAAAAGATTTATAAACGGATTGTTTATTTTTAATAAATATTTAATAGATTAAAGACATTTATGGAATGACTATATTATTTCAATTTAATTAACCACAAGCTGGGTTTGAGAACTAGTACCAATAGTAGTATTCAGCACTCACTCTAGGATGAACAAAACTATCAATCCTTTGAGTTAGAATTGAATTGGCCAATACGAACAATTTTAATCCGGTGTTGTTATCAAGTTACTGTTTATGTCTTCAGTTGAATGACTTCACAGGTAAAAACGGGTCACATCTGAGGATTCTTGAACTAGGATGAAACATCTGTTTATCAGTTTATGACTTATCACAGATTCTTTAATTCATGACAGTTAGTGATGTAAACCGTCTCAAAATCCAGAGATTTCTCCTAGAAACACAACAATTTTTGATTTATTGAATTTTGACTAGTTGATTGAGTACAAATGTAATCGAAGATAAATTAAAAGTTTTGGATTCGTTTTATTGAGTTTGGTTCTCATCATTTACGTACATCCCTTTATGTTTATGAGTTACAATTACAAAATCGGTCGAAATTACTTTCACAAATGAGTTCAGATAGAAACTGTAGTGAAAACACACTGGTATTGTGTAGCAATGAGACGAATAATTTTAACGAACCGAAGGAAACAGTAAACATATATTTCATATGAAGGGAAATTCTACAACATGATAGAGACAGAAGATTAAGA